GATTCTTATTTGTATCATATGAAAGTTATATATATTAATTATGTTCGAGTCCGATTCTATTTTTATTTATTTATTTTTATGTTATTATTTATATAATTATATGAAAATCATTTGTAATTTTTTGCTCATTGGGTTTTTTAATTATACAATTTCCAAAAAATTATGTATACATATACAAACATATATATATATATAGAGAGAGAGAGAGAGGGAGAGAGAGTCTTTCAATTTGAAAATTTGGTCAAGATCTCGTGATCTTGTCTTTCAAATCTAAAAAGATCAAAGTGGTCAAAATTAGAGGGTATAAGTTATCAAAGCCATTTAAGGCATCCGTATCGTACGATCATTTTTGGACGTATCAACTAAAGATCTGTTCGATGGCAGATCATATGTTGTATCTATAATAAGTCCACACCACGTGGGCCCATGACAACCATGATGATAGCCTATGTATACATATACATATATATATATATATATATACACACACCAAATAATTACACCCCATATAATATATATTAGATAATTATTGGTTTTTTTTTTTTATAAAAAAATTATACGAATAACATTTCAAACTTAAAATAATTATTAAATAATTATGATTATTATGTGCATAATTTATTCTATTACGTATCCCTTATTATAATATGAGATTAATTTTTATAATCTTTAATTTTTTAAAATTTTAATTAGAATTGGAATTAAGTTATGTTATTTATTTTAATTATTTGGATTAAATTATTGTTAGCATTTAATAAGTAAAAAAATTATAGCAAAACCATTCTTGAAATAATTCAATTTTGCTGATTTAAAAATATTGTTATTTTTATTTTTATTTTTTAAAAAATAAAAACAGAAGCACATGATTAATTAATACAAGCTAAATTAATATATATATATATATATATAGTTGGGTTTAGAAGTTTCAAAAAAATCTGAATGAAAAAGAATATATATATATATATATATATAGTCCCTTTCTGTTTGTTTTCTTTTTTTAAGATCTGACTTTTTTTTTTGTGTGTGATTAATATTCGATTCCAATAAAATACAAAATTGAAAATACACAATCAGAAACCAAAGTTGAGTTTGGAACATCGAGCACAGACCAAACTCTGTGGAACATTGAAATATACATATATATATATATATACACACACACACACACACATATATACAGCATGTGAAAGAGATGCAGTGTTTAAAGGGAATGTAGAATTTGACTTTTTCTTTACGCCCACTGCACTTCAAAATTAAAAGAGAGAATTTTGATTCTTTTCAAACTTACAATATCATCAGTACCTTTCTGTCTGGGCCATGTTTGGAATAAGTGAATAATCTTCATCGTAATATCCTCAATTAATTTTAAATAAATTTAAAATTAATGTATAAAAATTTATTTTTTAATTTATAAATTTTTATTTGATGTAAAAATAAAAAAAAAAATAGGTAGAGAATGAAATTGAAAATAATTTTGAAAAAAATGAATGAAAATTTAGATTTTATGAGTGTTTTTGAAAAAAAAATCGGAAACTAAGGGTTAAAAGAAAAATGTGCCACGTAGAACGCCCAGTCAGCAGTCTCGATGAACCAGAGCGCGCCGCGTGGTAAGGCACGCTGGTGCGGTGCCACGCAGAAGGCCACGCTGGCAACCCGCGTGACCGCGATGAACAAACGACTCACTTCCTATTTAAATGCAATCGGACGGTTTAGATCAAATGCGATGGAAAGTCCAAATTAAAAAGAGACGAATATAAATACCCATATTCATACCAAACCTTAACCCTAACCGCCAGACCCCCTCCCCCCTCGCCGAAGAAGAAGAACCAGTCGCCGGGAAAGGAGCTAACTACTTCACATTGCCGTACCGGAGCCACCTCCGACCGCCAAAAGAGGTAAAAATTTTCTAATTTGCTTGAAATTCAATTTTGAACACTCTCATGGTCAAATTGGAGCAAAAAGATCGGTGGATGAGCCAAAAATCACGAGTAAAGCCCACGCGGCACCGCCGCAGAAAAAAGCAAAAACCGCATCCGATGAGGCTCTTACCGATTCCTGTTTCATTCAATTCTTTCACCATTATAATCATCATTCCTTTTTCTACAGGTTGACCGTATTAAAACACCCAACTGTGAAGGTGAGCCGGCAGAGCCGCCGTACCGGAAACCCTGCCGTTGGTAAGCCTATGTTTTTTTACTTTTTTCGGCCAATCAAGGTCTCTTAATGTGTTTTTTTGCATGAAAGAATTCAAAACCAGTGAAATTGGCCGAAACTGGCCAAAAACGGCCAACTCGAGGCAAATTACAGTCGTAAGCGACGGTGCCGTTGCCGGAGCACTACGACAGCGCCGTGCCAGAATCTCGAAGTTTGCCGAAAAGGGTTTCTAACACTGATTTTAGATTTTTTGGGGTATTTCTAGGTATTTGGAGCGTGTTTTAATCTCTGAAAAAAAATTCAGGGAACTTAGGGCTGCTAGTAGGCGCAGCTGAAAACTTAACGTTTCGGACATCGATTCGCGTAAGAATCTCTCACCATATTCCCTGTTATGGAATTGAAGTTTAATTATAAATAATACGGTATTTTGCGTGATTTAGAAATATCGATAATTAAAGATTACTAATGGAGCCTGAACCGGTTATTTATTGCTACTTGTCATGTTTTAATTGATTGATTAATTTTACTGTTTCGAACGCATGATAACATACTAGAATTGGTATAATGATTCGTTTATGTCCCTTGATGCATGTATTTGCTTGTTTTACGTGATTTACAGTTAATTAAAAAATTAAAAATTAAAGGTACACGGAAAATTATTTGATTAACTGAATGAATGAATGGTAGTCTTACTGGATATCCTACGAGATGGTGAACGGACCGGGTACGTAGGGAACCCTACTGTGAACGTTGCCTCATACCGGACGAGGTATCGAAGATTTATACTTTGGCACTCATACTGGACGGGGTATGAAGACGGCCCGTTTCACCCTCATACCGGACGGGATATTAAGGGATGATATCTTTTGACGCTCATACTTGACGAGTTATGGGGACGATCAGTCAGTTGAAAATATTGAATAAAGGTTCACGCGTAATAGGGACCTCCCTATAGACCCCTATGGATACCAGTAACTTAATAAAGGAGAAAGTTATTGTTCCAACTGATTGAATATAAGATTATGATATTGTTTATATTATTGCCTCTATAGGTCGACTTTTGAAAATTTTGCTACGGTAGGTATGCTGTAAATGATTTTATTCATGATAAACAAATTTACTTAAATTAAGAACTCAATTAGTTATTTTCATGATTTCTACCAACCTTCATTTCTGTGTCGGAGAGTAGTGTGACATTCTTACTGAGCTAGTGTAGCTCACTCTTTCATTAACTATTTCAGATCAAGAGGACCAGGATCTAAATCCCGATCCAGAAGAGGGTTGCGAGTAGAATGCTCATTTTGTTTACTTTTCATTTATTTCTTTGATTATTAGTTATTTTTTTAGAAAAGTCATTCCCCATAACCCTATTGGGTATTCTAAATTATTGTGTAAGGTGTGTAGCCACTAACGCTACTATTTCGCTTTCGCACTTAATTTATAATTCACTTCATTTCAAGTTCCGGGTTGTTATAGTTGGTGTCAGAACTGCATTCTTCAGAACCATTCCGTACACAAAAACCTTAAGAAACACCAAAGAATGAATTACCACTCAACCATTCCTTATGAAATGCAGGTACAAATAGATGAGGAGAGGAAGACCCCCACTAAACCGAGCAGCCCGAGAGGATTCGCTTCGAGAGGATGTTGACCGATTATTTGAAAATGCTGGAGAGACTCATCACTGCCCAACAGGCCCGTGAGGGAAGGAGGGAGCTATCTGACCCTCCCTCGCTGCCACAAGTCGAGCTACCCCTGCAGCGGGAAGATCTTGAGCTACTCTGGTACGATCACGCTCCTCCACAGTACCATCAAGTACCACTACAGTATGATCTAGTGCCCCAGCCACAGTACCACCCGACACCACCACAGTATAATCCGGTGCCCCAACTACATCACCCGACACCACCATAGTACAACCCGGTGCCTTTACCGTATCATTTAATACCACCATAGGGTCATCCGGTCCGTCCCCAGCATAATTCAGTTCATCTTTCACGGGACCCAGTTCATCCCATGATGGAACCAGACTACATTAAGAGGTATAAAAGACTAAACCCATCTACTTTTGCAGGGGGATCTTCTTTTGAAAAGGCCAAGTACTGGTTAGCTGAGACAGAGAAGGTCTTCACGACTCTTGGGGTGATTCTCAAACAAAGGGTCATATTTGCCACCTACATGCTGGTGGGAGAGGTAGGCCGCTGGTGGCAACTCAAGCAGGCCATCCTGCCTGTCCCTATCACTTGCAAACAATTCTTGATAGCCTTTAATGCAGAGTACCTCCCAGAGCATCTTCGACATCTGAAAGAAATAGAGTACCTGGTCCAAGGTGACATGACTGTATCGGAATATGCCCAAAAGTTCCTGTAGTTGCGCCGATATTCCCTTGAGAGCATGATGGATGAATGCAGAAAGGTAAGAAAGTTCGAGTGGGGCCTCTGTCCTAAGATTAGATAGCAGTTGTATGTATTCGAGCTCAGTACTTACTTGACTGTTCTGGCCAAGGCACAGCTAGCGGAGAGGAACCTTTGCATTTTTCCTCTAGCAGTAAGGAACCTCAGGCCCCCAGTTTCACACCGCAGACCAGTACCTATTGCACTTGTTCAGTAGAATAAGAGACCTAGGCCAATGACTCAGACTCCTCCTCAGATTCCAACAATAGGACGCGACAGGACTTACCAATACTTTGGCAAAGATCATGGGGACTGACCTTGCTATCGCCTCAACAATACATGTCGCATATGTGGGAGTGTCCAGCATTACGCGAGGGAGTGCCCGAGGAATCAAAACCAGATCATACCTTTTATTCAGGGCAAAACTTACAACCTCATTTAGCAGGATGTAAAGGCCAACCCAAACGTGATACATGGTACGTACACTATCTGTAATCATCTTGCATATGTTTTGATTAATACTGGTGCCTCGCATTCATTTGTCTCATATATTTTTGATGTATTACTTGAAGAACTTGATTCTGTGTTATTTGTGTCTACTTCTGGGAGTAGGACACTATTGGGAGAAGTTATATACAGAACTTGTATCATAGATATAGCAGGTAGAAAA